CTTTTTATTACTTTTTCTTTTATAAAAACTTAATAAATTATATTTATAATCAAATCTAATATAAAATAGTACTTTAAAAAATGCATTGATATCAGCATTAAAACACTTTTAATGAGCATCGGACTTATTCAAATTGAACAAACGTAACTTACAAAATGAGTATAAATCGTAAGTTTTTTAGTTGAACTTCAATACATTTTTATTGAGCATTAAAACTCCTCTATTGAGTACTGAAAAAATGCAATTGAGTCTCATGGTCAATGCTCCTATATCTATAATCAACTCTTACATGAATCAAAAAAATAAAACTAAAACATTTAATAATATTTTGTATTATACATTTTCATAATAATTGAGTATAACATTAAAGTAGAAGGTTACTAAAAAACAAAAAACAAAGAAAGGGGAACAAACAAACATAAAAGAAGAATAAATAAAGAAAAGAAAAAGAAAGCAGTGGCGGATATGTCATACGAAAAAGAAGAAGAAGAATAAACAAAGAAAGAAGAATAAACAAATGAAGAATAAACAAACGAAGGATGGACGTGAGTGGAGCACGGATCGACGTGAGTGGAGCGCGCGGCAGTGGAAAGAGGAAGCACCTCAGTCTATTAATTATTTGGAGTCCCTGGCATGTGATTCGATCAACAGAGCAAGAAACGACTCGGCTCTTCTCCTCCAGGCAATGGCTGCAGACACACTATATTACAAAAATACTCGGTTGTACCATGAGGATGGTACAACCGGTTGTAGGATATAATTTACCAATTTTGATTGCGGTAGCAAGATTATTAGGTGTGTCTTTATACACTTTTGCACACGTTTGTGAAGATTTTTCTTGTAAGTGAAGTTAGCTTTTGTTTGTGAACAATGTATTCACAGTAAAAAGTCATCATAATTGTGTGTAAACAGTAAAAGTGTGTACATAAAGTATTTTCTTAATAGCTCACTCAAATATTTGTCCATCCTCGTTGGTAGATACCATTTTGACCTATGATTTTGTATCTGACTTTCAACGTATACTAGGTACCAAAAGGTAGCAAATAATAAGTGATATAGTGAATACGTGATATTACGTACCTACTATATATGTTCTACGTAGAACTTCGTATTTTAATTGCAACATTGGTGAATTTTAAACCATTCACATATTCTACTTTCACTACATTTTATATATTAGTGTATTATAAATTAAATTTTTGAAAAATACTGTTACATTTATCTCATTTTAAATTTTCAAAATCTGATTTTATTTTTTTATTTTTTTACTAATAAGGAATTTATTAATGAAAGATAATAAGGTCAAACTTGTGCATTGACAAAAGTGAAAATTGAGCCATTGCAATTTAAAAAGAACGGATGAAGTATTATTTATAATTGGGAAACACGACGTATTCAAATAAGACCTAGTGATTATTGTTTTTTTAATGGTAAATCGCTGTTAGATTATTTCAGTATGTCACTTGCCAACTAGCTTACAATACAATCATACGGATAATAAAAAATAACTAAATGACAAGACATATAAGCAACCGTTTTTGTTAGATCACGAGCCACTTGATTCTTTGGTCTTCTACACCAATTGATAACGATATCATCATTATCTCGCACAAGCATCTTCATATCTTCAAAAATAACATGATGTGTGAATCGCTCTTCTCTCCAGTAATCTCGCGCAAGAGAAGAGCTACACGTGTTTTGATAATCATATTTCCCAGCTATTCTCTATAGGCCACAAAATGGCTTCCGTAACTCCCAACTTTTCTGCTTCAACTAGTGTCCACCCCGCTTTCAATTCCGACATCGAGCTTGTTGTGGTGTCTACCTTCATTTCTCTCTATTGTTGACCCACAAAGCAAGATCCTTGATTGCTTGCGATTGAGCTGCTCTCCAGCTTTCCAAAGTTGCGGCAGCAGCCCGCCTCACCCCTTCAACCGACTACTTCAATTCCATATGATGCCATTTCACATCTCCAAGATGCATCAGAGCAACATAACGAAATGACAAAGACATTCTTCCATTAGTAAACTAAAAGTTCTCTAAAAGCATTCTTCCAACGAACTCCCTCCCACCAAACTAGATCAATCAACACTCTCCCATAATCTGGACGCACTTGGGCCATTGCAATTAAAAAGAACGGATGAAGTATTATTTATTATTCGGAAACACGACGTATTCAAATAAGACCTAGTGATTATTGTTTTTTATGGTAAATCGTTGTTAGATTATTTTAGTATGTCACTTGCCAACTAGCTTACAATACAATCATATGGATAATAAAAAATAACTAAATGACAAGACATATAAGTAGCCGTTTTTGTCAGATCATGAGCCACTTGATTCTTTGATCTTCTACACCAATTGGTAACTATATCATCATTATCTCGCATAAGCATCTTTATAACTTCAAAAATGACATGATGTGTGAATCGTTCTTCTCTCCTGTAATCTCGGGCAAGTGAAGAGCTGCACGTGTTTCAATAATCATATTTCCCAGCTATTCTCTATAGGCTATGTTTGCTATTGCTTAACTTTTTAAAAAGTGATTTTGTAAAGTGATTTGGAAAAGTGATTAATAATAAAAGTTGGTAGTTTTTGAGAGTAGAAGTGATTAAAGTATAAATGTTAAAGTTGGAGTGTTTGGTAAAAAAGTGATTGTGGAATTATATTTTTCTGGAAGTACAAAAACATCCTTCTTTCATTAATCATATCCACCTTCATAACCGACCGTTCTTCAATGTTTGCCCCTCAATATTTATCCTCCTCTTTTTCTTCTTGGAAACATGATTGTTTCCAAGTAACCAGTTTTTGGTTTTTTCTTTTTTTTTTCTATTAAAGAATTCATAAAATTAGGTGCAGGTTTCATTTATTGACCGTAGTTTTAAACGTAAGCCAAGTCACAAACCATACCATACGAACCACAAAGATGGAGAATAAAAATATCATAGATGATCTGGAATAGAACGAGAGCTTTTCCGCTGGAACGGGCTTCACGAACCAATTTTCCCCTGGGATGCTGGAGTTACTCGAGAGGCTGCGACACAAAGATGTGGAAGACAGAGATATCGGAAGATGTTTAGCAAGGGTAAAATAGGGTATCAAGGGGGAATGGGATGGTATAACTATCCTCAAAGTTGCCTTTAATTACCATAAAACAAAAAAAAGCAGATAGAAGCATGCTAGGAGGAACTTCCAGCTTTTACCCTAAAATCACTTTTATTGAAGCTAAATATGCCTTTTGCAAACACTCCAAATAGCTGTTTTAAAAAAAAAAAACCAAATGTGCTTTTCAAAAGCGAAGGAAAACACTGCCTCTATAGGCCACAAAATGGTTTCTGTAACTCCCAACTTTTCTGCTTCAACTAGTGTCCACTCCGCTTTCAATTCCAACATCCAGCTTGTTGTGGTGTCTGCCTTCATTCCTATCCATTGTCGACCCACAAAGCAAGATCCTTGATTGCTTGCGATTGAGCTGCTCTCCGGCTTCCAAAGTTGCGGCGGCAGCCCGCCTCATCCCTTCAACCGAAAAACTACTTCAATTCCATACGATGCCATTTCACATTTCTGAGATGCACCAGAGCAACATAACGAAATGACAAAGACATTCTTCCATTAGTAAACTAAAAGTTCTCTAAAAGCATTCTTCCAACGAACTCCCTTCCACCAAACTAGATTAACCAACATCCTCCCATAATCTGGACGCACTTGGACACCTTACAAATATCAAGACATTCCTTCTCACCCCTACAAAAACAATAGTCTTCCGCAACCCGAACACATTTTTTCTTCAAAATACTCACCATTGATAGCACGCTAGAGGCAAGCTGCCATAAAAAGATTTAATTGGGGGGGGGGGGGGGGAGCCTGCACATCCAAACAACCACCCTTACATATTCATTTAAAAATTTTAATTCCCCTACTAATCTTATGAAACTTCTTTGAACTGTATACCTCCCTTGTGGGTCATCATTCCACCTAACCATCTATTACTTGCCTCAAACTTACGGGGATACTAATAATAGTAAAAGCTTCCTCTAAAAAATGTAGCTTACTTGAGCTATGTTCCAAGACTTTCTGCAAGAGAGCAGCCACATTCATATATGAAATACCTTCTAACTCACTTGAGCTTACTCTTCCCAACCCCTTCTAAGGTACTCATGCATCCTTCCATACAGAAATTACTTTAGTGTTCTCAATACTTCACCTAATCCCAACTACTACCACTTCTTGACTTGCCAATATACTCCGCCATATATATGATGGGTAGTTACTAGCTTGGACTTCAGCAAAAGATCTTCGAGGATTGTACTTATCTTTCAAAACTCTCTTTACTAGAGAACGGGATCCAATTATTCCACCTGATTCCTCTACCAGAGAAATCATTACTTTTTCACTAGTAGTCATTATTGTTCATTATTGCGAAATATTCAGATAGTGATTATTGTTTATAATTGTGGAATATTCAATTAAGAAAGTGTAAATTTATTTCTAATACGATTGAACTCTAATATTTGAGTAACAAAATATTTGTTACAAAAATAATGCAACATACTTAAAAATATCTTAAAATGATACCTTATAACCTCTCTTGAATTATTTATCTTTATCCAGGGAGTCATACTCACCTTCTACATTACAAAAAGTCTATTTATAAGGTTAAATTTCAGTGTAAACATCTTTATTTCAACAAATGTGTTTTTACAATAATAAAGAAATCTATAACTTTAACTTCTCCCACTAAGGCTCATGACTTCTTTATAATATTCATATATGTGTTGGTTTTTGTTTGTCTTTACACCAAGGAAAACACCCTAAGGTGTCAAGGTATAGTATGGCATCTAGATGATATATAATGTGAATTTATGATATTTTATAAATTTTATTACCTTGTAGCAAAATAGAAAGAATGAAACAACAATACTTCTAAACACAAACAACAACAAAACAAAAAAAAACATTGTATCGAACTCCTATACATCTCACTTGCCATTCAAGGACACATTAAGCATTAGGATCTTTAAGCAAATGTGTGTATGTATAGATATATATGTTTTACAATAGAAGAGACCATTGGACAATATGACCTGAGATACAACATTATTAGAAATTTCTCTCTCGCCTCTCAGCAAAGAATTTGCCAGTGATACTCAAGTCAGGGAGGAGTGCCAGCCAGACGCCAGTGTCGGCTGCGTCTTCGGGGGAAATACTCCCGGCCCAACCAGTCATGGCAGTCTTCACCCAACCAGGACAATAGCAATTAATGTATATCTTATGACCTTCCTCTCGTTCTGCAAGTTGGCGTCCCATTACTCTTGTGAATGCATTAACAGCAAGCTTCGATAGCGAGTAATCTGTAAATGTTTGTGGCCATCCCCCTGACACCCAACTCCCATCCTTTGTTTGTTTTAAGAATGTTTCCACCATGTCATCAATGAATTCCTCTGTTAGTGACTCCACATCCTCCAACTTTTCTCTCAACTCATCATTCACAATTCTCTGCCAAAGATCAAAATTTTAAAGTGACTAGTTGATTGGTCAAGCGGAAAGAAGAGCATTTTAAAAGCACACAGGACTTACATTCTGCTTGCCACGGAGTCTTCCTAACCGTGAGGTGACACTTACAATACGGCCGCCTGCACTTGAGGGCTTCATCAATGGAATCATAGTTTTGATCATATTTTTGGTGCCATAATAGTTCGTCTTGATAACTATTTCTGCATGTTCCACAGAGTTATCCTTACCAAAGTTGAAATTCACACCTGCATTGTTTATCTACACATACAAAAACAATTGCTGAATACAACAACATCCAAGTCTTAGTCCAAATTAGTGAATACTTGTAATAATTATGTGAGATATAATAAATAATAAGATACTAATGAAGCGTCTCAAATGCAGCATACCAAGACTCATTCTCTTGGACCGACTTACCAATTAAACTATTAAACATGTTTGATCAGCCTAGATCTAAACATATTTGAACAAGTCATAATAGACTAGACCAACTCAAATATAATAATAATAATAATAATAATACACATAAAATCAAATAAAACTAGGCCATAATGTATAAGATCATACTTAAAAAGACCAGAAAGGTACGATTAAAAAAACATGCAATAAAACATGACATTCCCACATACAAAGAGAAGGGAATATATTTAAAAAGGGTTTTCGAACAACATCGAAAATATCAAATTAATATATTTTTTTTCATTTTTGTTCTCTTACTCGAGTATCATAGACACGAGAGCCAAAGTGACACAACTACTCACTCCACTCGTGGAAAGCATACCAGTATATCCAAACCCCCATATTCTTCCTTCAACCAATCAGCAAATGTCTCAATTGATACAGGATCTACAATATCTAGTTGATGGAAAACCACATTTAAGCCTCCTTCTTGCAAGACCTTAACTGCTTCTTCACCAACAGCAGTTTCTCGTGAAGTGAGAACAACTGTCAAACCATGCATTGCAAGTTGGTGGGTGATTTCAAATCCAATCCCTCTGTTCCCACCGGTCACTACAGCAATGGTCTCTGTCGTCCACCATCTGAACACAATCATCATTCACAAACCCCATTCTTAGATTGTAATTTGTTAAAATGTTGTTAGGTTGGCAAATGTAGGAAATAAAGTAAATGTGAAAAATGAAATAAAAATGCACGATTTAGCTGAGCACACACATTATAGGCTTTCCCTGTGTAGTTAAAAAATACATATTAGAGTTTCTTCTTTAAAATATAAACATGATTTATTTACTAATGATTTTGAAAAAGAGTAAACATGTGACTTTTAAATTGATACTAACAATCATGACCAATAGTAGTGACACCGAATCACATGACATCGCCATTAAAGCATGTTGTTTTTGGCTACCATAATAATCGGGAAGCTAGTGAGAGAGGGGTTGGATTCAAAATCCTGAAACAATCGGGAAGCTAGATATAGAAATTTAGATATTATTTTACTCACTTCTTTGAAAGTATTAACTAGTCTTTTTTGTCCATGGATAATGTGAAAGTTTATATTTTACTCATTATTTCAATTGATATTAAGAAAAAATCAAAAACCCAATCCAAGGCGGAAGGATTGAAACCTTGACAATGTGATAAGCAATTTACTTAACCCATTCCAAGATAACCATTATTTCATAAAATAGAAGTTTGTATCTCTTTGTGATCATTAAATTCAAATATGACCTCCAACAAAAATAACAGGATTTACCCATACAGATACACATACATATATCACAGTCAGGAAAATGACTCTTTTTTGAAAGAATGATATATAAAGGTTGAACCTTTAAGGTTCTTTCTTCACCTTTGATGATCTGAATATGGGATGGTGCGCAGAAGAGATATCTCTTGGCGTCTCTTCTCTCTTTTCTCTTTTGCCTTCTCCTTTTTATCCATTTTTTGGGCCTCCTATAGTGTATATCTAATTATAGGCTTTACCCTTGTGTTTAATGCAATTCCCCTCTTTTTCTTGATGATAATGTTTAGATGTGTGTTTTGATAGGAGAAAGAAGGGCGGCCAAGAATTCAGAAAAAAATGAGAGTAGTTTTTCCCGCTATTGTTGGCTCAAAATAACATCACTAATTTCAGCCATGATTTTGTATCAACAAACAACCACCCCATTTTCTCCATCCCATTTTAATGGCCACAAGGGCTACCCTCATTTTAAGGAAATACAAATTTTCAATAATCATATCATATATCCAACCATCCACTTTATCAACAATAACACATATAAAGATAAAGATTATTTATAATAGTGAAGTTATCACTAATTAACGAGACTTTTATTTTACTTCTACATGTACTCCGTACATCTTTACTATATACAAATGGAGGAGAATTTAAGCTAACTTTCCCGCTCAATATGTTCAATTACTTGCGATAGAAAATTAAAAAACAATATGTTCAACGACCTCCTCTCGCATTCATACTTGTGATAAAGAAAAATAATATTTTTTTTCATTATTCTCTTTTGTGATTTTTTTCTCTTGATCTCTTCTGTCCAACAAATTAGAAGTTGAATCCAAGTTATAATATTAAAATTCAAGATCAGAACTGTCTCAAAATGCGATCTGCAAAAGATATTAGGGAATACAAATCGGAAGGTTCACGTATATTTTTATTTTAAATTATCATTTCTTAAAAAAAATGAAGACAGATATTATTTCTCTTTGATTCAAAAAAAGATAATATTTCTATTTATGATGTATCTAAATTCTAAATGATTGTTGATTTGTGTGTCACATTCACTTCTTCAGTTTTGTATAATAATCTTACTCAATATATTAAAATGTATACTCATTATCATATTTTTGAAATTATCTAATGCGATAAAGAAAATGAGGGGTATATTGTATATGGATTGTGGTTGAATATTTTAATCTGTGGACTTTAAAAAAGAGTTTTTTTTCAAAAATATTGGTAAAGTAAAACTTATTTGCATAAACTAATAGTTACACAATTTAGGACAAATTTTGATTGTACGTGAAGTTTAAAACTTGAACATAAGTTATTATGATTGCATTATTATTACTCCAGTCATTAGACACAATTTTGTAAATAATTTTATTAGTGCACTTCTCATTCCAATTTCATTCGAGGTAACAACTTTTATTTTTCTTTCCTACAAAGGCGTGCTCGATTTTTCTTTCCTCCAATTTATGTTGGATAGTTCACTAGTGATTATCACTTACCAGTTTATGTTTGTGTTAATGGAGAGTTGAATTTTGATGTCCGATGAAGAGTACAGTTTGAACTCTCGGATTAGGATTTAGTAACCAGGAACATCAATTGAAACTGGGCGTGTTGAGTGAGCTTGAATTCTGGGCTAGTATTGTGTATTCATATACTGTGTCGGGAAGGTTTTTAGTAATTCATTTTTACAGACCACTGACCAGTTTTAATTCATTTTTATCACGATTTAGGTCTTTCTCCCTTCTTATCGCGCTGGTTTTTGTACCTTATCTGCAGCTAGCGATCTCGCCTCCGTACTTGCTCCCATGCTTTCCAGATGGCTGTGCAGTCGAGTACTTCCCATCTTAGGTTCTCGACGGGACCAATCTTCTTGCACATTAAGAGGTAACCTTTCTTTCGCATCCAAATCTAATTCAAAATCAAGTTGTTTGAAATTAACTGGGTTCATTATCAAATTGATACTAGGTATACCCAAAATACCCGATCCCTACTCCAGTTTGAGCCAATTTCAGAATCTTAGAAAAATCCTCAAGTAGTATCAAATCCTAACACATTTCTTGAAATTATATTACGAAATCTCTGTTTTTCCCAAAATTGAATGCATTTTATAGCATAGTTAGTACCAATACTTAAGAGATATTGAAACAGAAGTTGGAATAAATATAGTCTTATTTTGAGAATAAAACATATTCAATCATATTTTGTGAACTTGTTTCATGTTTATTCTTATTATGAGTAATTTATGCAATATTATACATCATCAAACATCAAATAATGTTATGTAGTGTTATTGATTCATTAAACTCTAATTTTTTAGCATACAGTATTTAATATCTATATAGGCCTGCTCCCCTTCCTCCCCTCATCTTTGATGTGCAAGTTATTTCACTGACTGTTTTTCGACTGTTGACTAAACTTGTTTCAAAATAATACTACTCCTTCAAAAAATGTCAATTTGTGGTCAGAAAATATTTCACTCAAATGCCTTTACACCTAAATGCAATCATGCCTATGACATATCATATAAATTCAGTGTGAAAACATCTATGATATTAATGTTTACTCTGGTGATAACATTGAATTAGTGTGACTTGTGGTAAAGTAAATTTAAGAGTTACGCAAATTATGTTGCTTTGTTTGTTTCTACTGTGTTTCATTTGAGAAACTTGCAATATTTTGATATGGTTCTTGGCTTATCAATGAAACTATCAGTTAATTTTGTGAGGGTACTTTGCTGTATATATAAGAGAAGCAACAATATTTCTATGAACTATAAGGCATGAGTACAAATGTATCCCTCAACTGTATTTTGGAACAATTAAAGACAAAGATTCTAAAGCTGGAACAAATATGTCATAATGTCGAAATAGTAAATGGGTATATAATATATATGTTCTCATAATATATAATTCATGGGCATAATTTTTCAAACTACAATTTTTATGTTTTGTTGTTCCCTAAACAGTTGAGGGGTCTATGTGTTTTCTAGCATGTAGGTCAAAATCGTATTTATTCCTTCTCCTAATCTTGGTTGCTCCTTGCATATCTTTGTAACTTCTGTACAACTTTGTATTTGGTGAGCAACAAATTTACCTAATCATGTCTGCAGAACATTCTTATCTTTCTTTATCAAGAGTTGCAGCTGCTTTCAGCATACATGAATACCTGAGAAGAACAATCCAGACACACAGCCAACTTACCAACCTTCAAACCAAGGAGATTTTAAAGGAAGAGAATTGCAGCTCAATGGCAAACGGTCCCACAGGGAACGAACTGCGAGAACCGGAAATGGATTCCTACAGCGCTGTAAAAAGCAGTACATCTTCAGGCCTGAAGGTGTCATCAAGGCACGACCTTGCCATGATCTATACATGTAAGGTATGTGAAACAAGATCTGTGAAGACTGTATGCCGTGATTCTTATGAGAAAGGCGTGGTAGTGGTACGTTGTGGGGGGTGCAACAACCTTCATCTAATTGCAGACCGGCTAGGTTGGTTTGGACAGCCAGGGAGCATCGAGGACCTCCTTGCTGCTCGTGGAGAGGAGGTGAAGAAGGGCTCTATCGATACCCTAAATCTTACCCTTGAGGATTTGGCTGGAAAGAAAGTTTGAATGAGAATGATGTTATCATTTATGGCCAACCAGGAAGAAATTTTGATAGTTATTTTATGACAAAAGTAAAACAGAGATTTTGTCTGGATCACGTAGACTACAAGTAAGAATGTAAGATACAAATTTGAACAATGATGTTACATGTTAGTGATTCAACCTTTACGAAGAATATTTAAACGCTGCCGCGATGCTTAATTGTTGGTAAACTAAGTTTTGAGTCATCTAGATCAAGTTGTACACTGTAGCAGTTCAATTTTTGTAAGTGATCTCTTTCTTTCAGCTAACATCTTACAAAATTTGCATTAGAGATGCTTAAAAACTTATGAATAATCAGACATTACGTTTTCTTTCTACCTTTGTAGCAGTTCTATGACTTTGTCCATTAACTATACCCAATTTAGACAGCACGTTTGGGAAGGCTCAAATCACTGAAGTGCCTTAATTTGCCATGTGGCCTATTCAATGTGCTAATTCGTGGCTAAAATGACACAAAGTCCTCGTTCCCTGTTTGGTAAATAAATATACTCTTGTATCAAATTATTTTAGTATCCTTAAATAATAATGACAGAACAATGTAAAACCATGTTAAATAGTCTAATGGTGATGTTCATCCCCACCCTATTGGATTGCTATGTGACATGTCAATTATTTCTTTTTTGAAAATGTTACAACTTTTTCATATATAGTCCAATTTTAAAAACATAGTAAATCAATTTTTTTAATTTTAAAACGATCTTTCATATTGTACCATTAAAACGATAGAAACATATAGGGAAAACTATCAATTTGGTCATCATACTATCACGAAATAGTCAATTAGATCACCGTACTTAAAAATAATCAAATCCTCGAACTTTGTAAAAACGTTCAATTGAGTCCATTTGCAGGTTATTTGCCATATCAGCAGGTCACCTGCTAACGAGGTGCACACTTGATGGTCCACGTATGTGCCACGTCATCATCAAAGGGAAGATTGGACTTTCACATATGTGCCATGTCAGCACAGTCAATGCTAATTGGACTGCCACGTGTACGCCACGTCAGTGGGGGACATACAAATGGACTCAATTGAACATTTTTACAATATTCGGGGATTGGATTGATTTGGATTTTCTTAAAAGTACGAGGACCTAATTGACTTTTTCGTGATAGTACGAGGACCAAATTGACAGTTTTCCCAAAAATATATTTAATTTGATATATTTTTTAAAAAACATAATTAAAAAACCCTAGATAAAAATAGATATCTAGAAAAAAATTGTAATTTTCAATTTTTATATGCAATAGTGGAACCATTAAAAAGATAAAAAAAATTATTTAATTTGATATATTCTTTATAAAGTTGGACCACAAAAAATATTACTACGTACTTCGTATATCAATTTGAAAAAAAATCACACTGGAGGAGGAGGGTGGTGAACAAAATCAAACTCATAAGAGTTGGGGAAGCCATTTTTTTGGGCACAAACAAATGGTTAGAGATAGGTAGTGATCCAAATCGGGGTGGCTATGATACTACTCCGTATTAGGTAGTGAAATTGCTATTCTAAAAATGAAGTTACGACTCCATCTTTTTTAACGTAGCTCTTTGGCAAATGAACTTTTTGACGTGGCATAATGGTTTGGTTTAAACGAATCGAATCGTATCAAACCGAACAAAACCGAACCGAAATCGGACCGTATGTAATTTGATTTGAGTTTGGTACTATTTTTTCCAAACCGTACTAAATCGAACCGAACCGAACCGAAACCGAACAAAACCAAAGTTACCAAACCGAACTAAAGAAATTCAAAAAAAGTCTTCATATATTATTAAAAATTAACAAATCCAAACCGAACCAAACCGAACCGAAAAATAGTATGATTTTTGTTTGGTAATAATTTTTCCAATCTGTTCCAAACCGAACTGAAACCGAACCGAAAACCGATATGTCGAATCGTAGAACTTTTCATACAGTGCTTTGGCGACTTTCTTCCAAAAAAAGAAATGCCTTAGGCCATCTCCAAGAGACCACCAAATCACACACCATTTTGGTGTATTTGCCAAAAATCCTCTCCAACAATCACACCATTCTCCACACCATCACACCATTTTGGTGGAGAGGAGATGGCTTCACGCCATATATGGCGTACACCATTCTCAACACCATCCACCTTTTTTAATTTATTTTCCTTTTAAATGTGACCTTCAACTTTTAATTATTATAGTTTTGACCCATTTTTAAAACAACAAATTAGGATGTTTTACTTGGACTGAAATTGGTTTGTCCGCTCTGGTCTGGTCTGGTCTGATTTGATCTGGTCTGATCTGAAATGGTGTGGTCTGGTTTGATTTCTTTGTATTTTTATAACTACCCAAGTGTGGTCTAATCAGGTCTGATCTGATCCCGAGACAAATTACAGTCCAAGTAAAAACATCCTTATAGAACAACAAATTAAAATTATTAATTTGATATAAAAAATATAATAAAATTTAAATCACACAATATTATAAATAAAGTTTCAAATCCAAACAACATTATAACAGAATACAAATGGTACTTAAATGTCAAAATATTAAATGAGGGGCTAATGTATAAATATATGATAGTTAGATACTTAAATAGAAGAATGGTAAAAAGTTAGTAAAAAGAATAAAAAGAGAATATTCCTTTTTGGTGATGAAAATGGTGTAAACTGTTGGAGATAAAATACTGTTTGATGTGATGTTTACACCATTTTAGTGTAAAAAATGGTGTTAACTGTTGGAGATGGCCTTAGGCCTGTCGTGACCAAAAGAATAAATCAAATCCCACTTCTTTGAAACTCAACAGACTTATAAATTACATTCCATTTCAGAGCAGTGATACGGTTTCATAACGTATAGACATACGTGTCACGAAATGAAGGGCTCAAGTAGCTCATGCCCCACGGACAAGTCAAGCACAAAAAATAAATACTCCCTATATATAGTACTTCGTATATAGCTTATGACATTACCGATATCCATATATGTAACCACGTTCAATCTACAAGCTAGCTAGCAACCAATCCGATCTTAGAAAACCATTCCCTCCTTGCTCCAAGCGTACCCATGGCTTCCAAATCACATGTAAGTGCCATCTTTTTAGTTTAGGTTTCAATTCTTAGATGGGGATGGTTTCATATCATGAAACTAGTTTTAGTTTCATATAGATTAGACCATATCGATCTAGGTCATACGTAGTATTAGATTTAAATAACTTGTTAAAGCATTTGTCCTACACCGGAAAGCTATAAAACAATTAAACACAATATCAGGCATTGGGCTATCCTATCTGGTTGACCTTTTAGGATGGACCCCAAGTCATAACATAACTAAATTATACTATCGTATAAACCTTATACAAATTAGAACAAAGTAGATTTACACATTTATTTGCGACGAAACGGGAAATTTACAATTCAAGTGAAAACATTCGGTCATGCTCTTTAGAAAATTAGCACTCTTTTCCTCTACAACTAAAGTTCATACATTTGAATATGACACAACGTTCAAAAGCTAATTTAAAAATAAAAAAGTTGTTAATTTATGCGAAGTGTTTTATGTTTACAAAAGCGCAAATATTAAATGACATATCAAAACACAAAAAATGTAAAAGTAAAATAGTAATGGAACTAATACTATTATGTTTAGAGTATATTACCTGAAATAAGACTAAAAAGGTTTGAAAATTCCAAAATATGACTGTCATATTTTTTTCCCCAAAATAGGACTAATTACTGCCATGTTTTGGCAGTACCAGACTTCAAACAGTATTTTCCAAACTTGTCAGTAATTACTCCTATTTTGGGAATAAAAAACATGTCAGTCCTATTTTGGAATTTTCAAACTATTTTAGTCCTATTTCGTGAACTTTCCCTTATGTTTATGATAATTTGTGTGATAATTTTTTTGAATTGGCTACTTCATGTCTTCGCTTATGATCAAAAGAGTAGTCAAATTCATCAATACCTTTGGTTTTAACTTATTCAATTGTTGCAGTGCATCTTAATACGCTTCTAATAATTAACACTCAATAAGTGTAGTCATATATCCAGAATTTTTACGAATGCGATATTATATGAAATTATCACATTAAGAATATATTTCAAATAGATTTTAATTTTTATTTCTAATTTCAGAACAGGGTCAGACATTTTAATTTTTTTTAAACAAATGCAGAAAAGACCATTTAGTGCCTTCTTAAAAACAGGCGTAGTTTTCCCAACAGAAGATACACTACTGTAAACATATACTAAGCATATGTATATGTATAGGCTCCAGTTTTAGTGAGAATGATTCTTCCGTAACAAATGAGAATGATGGAAAACGGTTCATATATATACTACTCCGTAGTTCATGGGTTGAAGTTGATTTTTTTTTTTATTAAAACTATGCACACTTCGTGATGGTGGAAAACGTTGATTTTATTTACAAAAATGCCTAAGACGTTTTTTTTATGGGGAAAAACTTTAAATAATACGGAGTGCAAACTATTTTTCTTGATTAATACGTAATTTTTTTTTTGATGAATACGTAATTTGAAAATAACTTTTAATATTACGAATTATTTGAATATGTATCAAAAGTGATGTAGATCAAATTTTCGATAAAAATTCAATCATTTGACTCATCAAAATCTAATACGGAGAATCAAAATATCAAATAAGTGATCACATTTCCGAATATCATTATTTGATGGTTTGACATTTGTTTTTGATGTATTAATTAAATGACTGAATTTCTTATCAAAAAGTGGTTACATATTATTTTTTATTCTATATTCGAATAGTTGGTATTATTACAAATTATTTCAATGTATGTATTATTATTTGTTTATGGGTGCTTGTTGGTATTATTTAAAATTATTTTCTCTTCTTTTATTCACGTCAGTGCACATTTCAGTCACAGATAATGCATCGATCTCATTTCTCTCATTTGATCAAATAAAAACTTCTTTAATGTGCGGAAGTGCGAAATGCACTTCTAACTAGTATGAACCGTTGTTGCACTTTGCACTGGTAAAAAACAAACATTTTGGGAGGAAAAACGGTGACATTTTTGTAAATAAGTTGAACTTTTTACAAATTTGTAAAAGTGCACTACATGAACATAAAAGTGCACCGTAGCTCTCTAGAAGTGAAATTTTTGCATTTTACACGTTAAGACCTTCTTTTACTTTAACTGGTCTGTATTGATGTATTCTATCTCTTTAAATTCCAAATTTGTCTTCTCCTTTATATATGTAATTTTGTTAAATTCCCACACCGGATATCTCTGAAAGAATTACAAACTATATTAAGATTTGAGCTACTCCAATTATCAGGTTGACCTTTTAGCTTGGAACCCCGAGTCTTAACATGGTATCAGAGCCAAATCGATCCATGGTGTGGGCCCCTTATGAAAAATGATGACACGAAAAAATGACAATGACGAATCAATGAAAAAAATGAATGATAACACGATCCAGACGAAGTGTTTGGTCGTGAGGAGGGGTGTTAAATTCCCACACCGGATATCTCTGATAGAATTACACACTATATTAAGATTTGAGCTACTCCTCCTATGAGGTTGATCTTTTAGAATAGAACCCCGAGTCTTAACATTTCTCTTGCTTTTTATTCATAAAAGATCCTTTTCTTTAAAAATATTTGATGTATATGCATGCAGGGTTACTTGAAAACCATGATGAATAGCTTGAGAGGAAGATATGCAACATCCGCAAGTCCAGAATTGAAGCCTTCTGCTACTGCTGCTGTTGACAACCTTATACTCAAAGAATTTCTACCCGCCAGGTAATGTTCATATGTACGTATAATCATGTCCTGTTTATGTCACACTACATTTTCTTCTTTGACATATCCCATAAGTTTTCCGATTCCCAAGTTAGGCATTTAATCTCAAGCTAGCCTCTGACTCCTTGACTCCTTGTCCAACTAGAGGGGTTAGAGTACAAGTAAAGGCTGAAGGCTCGTACATTATTTTAATAAATAATGTTAAGTGTCATACTGATGAAACAAATTGTCACGAGTAAAAAAAGAAATTAGAATGGATATAGTTTTTTTATAGTGGAAACCAAGTCAATTAAAACCACTGACCTTTTTGGGCGATACCATGCCAATGAGAGGTGTTAGCTTTAATTATACGTAGTATTTGACTAGGAGATGTTATATGTAAAAATTAAAGAATATTCAGTCAGATATAGGGAAAGAGAATATTCCTATATTCAACTAGAGCCCATCTTTAGCACGCTCAACATGTTCTACAAGTTCGAGCTTCCCGATTTTTGGGGCCTCAATTTCAAAAAGAAATTATGAGTACTACACAGTAATAATATATATAAATACTAATCAATAAAATAAAGTTTTTTGTGAGTACTTTTACTCATGTTTTACTCATCAAATTGACTGAGTGATGAGTTGTGTTATTTTAAATCAAGTATTAATTTTTTAGAATTTTTATTACATTATTTAATGACTATTCAATTGATTTAAGAATAAGTGTTTAATTAGATTGAGTTTTCTTTTTTCTTTTTTTTATATTAATATGAGACCTCAATTTTATGTTTGGAGCAGGTGGAACGGGCCTCCAAATTTATTAGACGTGCCTATATTCAACTATCAATAAGCTCTATTTGATGATTAGCTTTGGTTAATCAATTTGAGGTCACCAAGTGGGTTCTTATCATTTTTGTTAGGAGGAAGAACGGGGATTTGGTGCCGTTTTGCGTGGCGGCAGGGCTGATAGCGGTGTCAACCACCTTGGGGCTGCACACCGCCGTGCAACAGTTGAAGCGGGCGCCCAATGTGGCGGTGAGAAAATCGAGAAGGCAAACGCTGCCGGAGGTGGTGGAGCCGGAGCACGTGGCGGAGGTGTCTCGCCAATTCATCAGCAAATCCTTCCTCCGGAAAGTCGCTCATATTCATCGGAGTAATGCTACCACCGTCAAGTCCATTCCCCACTCCAATCTATGGTTGTGTTTTCATCACTAGGTATATATGTACTCTCCATTTAATCCTTTTCTTTTATTGTAATTGTCTCCCTTTAATCCTTAAAAAGTATATGGAGTGTTTTTAATTGAAAGCGACTATATGTTCATTTTGTTGAAGCAAATATCCTTGCAATATTTTTGAAACAATTGACCTATAATTAGCAAAACGTGAGAAAGTTTAGAAGATTACACGACATTTTAAGTCTACTCAAAGCCTCAAACCATTCCATAATACTCTATTTAACCTCATGATTATTTCATGAGTTAATTATCAAAATAGGACTAAAAGTCATTCACTTTGTACAAACAGGACCAAAAAATAAACTATGTTTCCATAGAACTAATTATGTGTGTCTTGGACAAATATACCCTTATACCTATTGGAATGTTTTAATTCATAATAAAATAATAAAAAATAATAAAAATTCGTAAAATATACCAAAAAATTAATAAAAATATTTTGAATAATAATAAATTTTAAAAAAAAAATTAAAAAAAATTAAAAAAAATTAAAAAAAATTAAAAAAAATTAAAAAAAATCAATTTTTTTTCCGTCACTGCCGCATCTGCCGCCCCAGCACCACCACCTCTAGTCATTTGGGGAAAAAATGCCAAATTTATTATGAATTCCATATTTTTGGCATAATTTAGAATGATTTAAGATGGCAGAAAAAAATGTTAGCATTGTCAAAGAGAAATATGCCATATTTTTGGCATTTTCCGAAAAAAATGGAAGTTTGTAGGAAATATGGCATTTTTTTTAACGGTCGGAGGTGGTGGTGCAGGGAGGCGGTACCACCACCTCCTGTTACCGGGGTAAAAAATGCCAAAAAAATTATGAATGCCATATTTTTGGCAAAAGTCAAAAGGATTCAAGTTGGCAGAATGAAAATGTTGGCATTCTCATAGAGAAATATGCCATTTTTGTGGAATTTAAAAAAAAAGTGGCATTTTTTACACCAATCGGAGGTGGTGGTTAAGGGAGGTAGTACAGGCGGTGGGAAAGGTATCCATATTTTTTTTAATTTTTTTTATGGAGTTTTACTATTTTTTATTAATTTTCAAAAAAAAATTAATTTTTTTTCTTATTTTTTATTTTATAAAAATTTTATTAATTTTTTAATTATTTTTCTACGAATTATTGAAATTTTTTCGAATTTATTATGAATTAAACATTTAATTATGACTTTTAGCTATCTTTTACTAATATTTAAAGGAGGGGTAAGAATGGAAGGAAGAAATGAGTATGTTTCCAATAAGACCACTATGGTCCTATTTTGGAATAAAAAACATAGCAAGTCTTATTTTGAGTTTTTGCCATAATTTTAGTCCTATTTGAAGTAATTTCTATTATTTCATTCAATTAAATTACATTTGGGTTGATAATTTATTGTTGACATTAACTAATCCTCCGATTCTTTTTATTACATAACCCTTGCAGAGTTGCAGATGTATTTACAGCTCGCCTCAAGCGGAGAGACAGGAAAAGCTGCTAGGGAGAGTCAACGCCGTGATTTTCATGTGCTTATGAGTATGGACTGTATTGAATTACGGAGTATTATTCTCGGGGGCAGAGGTAGAGGCTAGGGGGACAAGGCCCCGGCCCACTCCTAATTCTAAAATTCTTTATATTTTTAGTGTAAAAACATACGTGTAAAAAATTATTTGTGATATAAATTGAATTATTGAATCATTATTATGTGATATAAATTACTCATATCCGATTATCCGAAACACGATGTGCATGAATTATGAGTTCTTATTCTATACTAAGAATATATCGCCTTTAAACACACAGTGAAATTAGTTAAATTAAACTTCTTCAAATTACATAGGAATGACTCGTAGTTTGGAAAAATAGCAATACTGGTAGCTTTGCATGTGGCTTATGATAAAATGTTATACATCCTCTTTGAACAAATTGAAAAAGAATGTCGTTTCTGTGCAATGTAAGTTCACATAGTAAAATAGCACTATCTTAAAAGTACTACTATATCTGTTTGAAAACCAAAGTATTATTTCTAAACTATTCTTCAAATCATTATATATGGGTTAACGTGTAAATACTACGGACTATTTTTTTTCTTCGAGTCTCCCAACTTTTTTTATCATCAAAACATGCCTCTATTCATATCAAAAGATTCAGGATCATTACATCTAATAAAGGGAAAATAAACCTGACACCAACTAAACTTTAACAACTACGACTGCAAACCCTGTGATCAGACTTTAATTTGAGACGGTCACCCATGAGAGAGCAACACGAATCGCAAACCATGTAGTGGGCTTGACACAGCTAAACATGTTCCCATAGATCCAAATTAAACATACCCAATGACATAAAGAGAGACTAAAAACTCAAACAAACTGTCAAAACCAACAACAAAAATAGACACAAGAAAACAAATGACAAACAGATAAAAATTACTAGAAAAACTTTCACGGACTCTAGCATCTCGTACAACCCATGGCGATGGTTCAGGAGGAGGTCGTACCACCGGTACCATGCTAATTGATCCTCCATGACCTTTAGCTTCCAAAGACCAAGCATCAATCCTCCGTCCCTGCACAACCAAACTCATCTATACTCCATGCGACCAGAGTAAACGGACAGGCAGTGCCGATCTCCTCCAACGACGACAGCAACGCCGCATTCTCGAACCATGACAGCAGCGCCGATCTCCGCCCCCCGCGCCTTACTTGGACTCTAACCGAGCACCAGCGACACAAAGATAGCAAAGCTGATCTTCGACAAGCCGAAATCGGAAAAAGGCTCCAGCGGCCGAAGCCCTAGAGAGAATCGTCGGTAGATTCTGTCTCCAATTGGAACTTGAAAAATACTTCAGAAATAAAAAATGCGGTGAAAATTAAAAGGAAAGAAAAATTGTAGAGAATGGAAGGCGGGTACAATCCTGCAGGTTTTTCAAAAATATTACTAAAATAAAACTTGTTTACACAAATAAGTTCAATAGTTACTACAATGTAATGTCATAGTAATTTAAGTTTAAAAATGGAACATAAGTGTTTGGATATATTATCCCGGTCCGTTACTGTTCAGAAGCCCAGGACTTTACATAGCACGGAGCCCGATCGGTTAGGCCCATCCAGCCCACTTTAGCCCATCATACCCAACATTGACCCATTTGGCCCATTAGGGTGGAGCACTTCCCCATTCCCTTTCCCTATAAATATAGGAGTTTCCCTCCATGTTAAAGGATCCCATTTTGGCTTCTCTTCTTCCTCCTCTCTAGCTAGTTTGCAAGACTCCATTAATGGGAGCTCAAATTGTATATTGTAATCGTGAGGAGAGTCTAATGAGAAAGAGGGGGCTTGGACATTATCCTAAAAAGTTCTGTGATTTTCCCCCTTTCGGGTTTCCACGTAAAAATCGAGTGTTCATACATATTTATATCTATATTTACTATATCGTGTGAGATTAAATTCAACAATAAGTTACTATGATTTCATTAGGCTAAAGGGTCAAATAGGTCCTTGAACTAACTTAAAGTGGTCAATTAGCCCCTTATATAGGAGGTTCTGCCCGGCCGTCGTCAATTGAGGCGGTTCCCGGTGGAATATTTTGATGCAATTTTTTGAGCATCTTCTTAATTAAGTCTAGTTTACCTTTACCAAATTTCAGCTAAAAATTCAACCGGGAAGGCAATCAAATGATTTTTTGAAGATAACTGCGTAGTTAAACAACGCAGTACATTTCGGAAAATCATTTGACTGTCTTCCCGATTTAATTTTTAGCTGAAATTTTATATGGGTAAACTAGACTTAATGAAGAACATGCTAAAAAAAATTCATCAAAAAATTCCGCCGGGAACATTCAATTGAACATTTTAAGTTAGTTCAAGGGCCTATTTGACCCTTTAGCCATTTCATTACTACTCTATTCATATTTTTGTAAACAGTATTTATTTTAGTTATATACATGTAATTATTTCTACAAATAACGTAATTTATTTTGTCAATCTTTAGTTCTCCGTATTTGTTTTGTTTATCATAGTTCATTTTTGTTTCACATTTTCATGGTTAATTAAAATACAATTTCACTTGCGATTTTCTGTTTCCAAAGCCTATTTCTGTTTAAGAGCATAAAAAACGTTGGGGAAGAAAAAATGAGAAAAATTTGAGAGAAAAGCAAATCTTCTAGAAAATAAAATATCAAATCAAACACAATAAACCTGTTCAATTTTTTGAACTACCCGCCTGCCCCGTTTTGTTTGTAACTTTTAGTAGCCTTAAATATGAAAAACAGATCTAATAAATATTTACTCCCTCCCTCCCAAGTTCTTTTGCAAAGTCAACATTTTTTGGTCAACCAATAATAAAAGTCAATCCTTCCTATTAGTAATTAATTCAATTTTTAATAATTAAAATTTACATATTCATAAACTATATTGAAATCTCTTCCAAGTTGTAAACTCCAAATTAGAATATAATTAAAAATTGACACCCTAATTAAGCGAACAAAACGAAACTGTTTGACCTAGAAAAGTCAAATTTGCAAATCAATTTGGGACGAAGGTAGTATGATTTTTGGGTAAATTCATCGTAAATATGACCCAGCTGAGATGAATGATACAAAATGGTTGTCTTCATTGATGTCAAATCTGGTTGTCTGCGCGCAAGGCCTAGAACTTCATCTATTTTGTTTAGGGTGTGTCCTAAATAACAAAGAAATACAAAATGTCACCTAGCAACTTAGGCTCAACACTGTAATTGTCAATTTCAAGTCATGGAGATTTGTGACAAATTGTAACTTGAAGAGTTTAGCCGAACACTAGGCCCCTGATACACTGGATATGCTACAACACTTCAAGAGAATATAAATAAGTTCCAAAAAGAAAGCTCAGAACATGTAGGATGTATGGTGGTGAGAAGGAACAGCAGTGGACAAACCACTGGCCGAACGTGCACTGATTCCATGGTAAGCATCAATTTCCAACGCCGCCACATCAGCGTACTGGTAATGGTGAGATGTAGTCTTCCTACCTGCAGGAGCAGTGTTTCTTAATGCTATAGAGCTTTCCAAAGAGGAAGGATAATGGTCAGAAGTTGTGTTCCTACCTGCAGAGGCAGCATTTCTTAATGCTAATGAGCTTTCCAAGGAGGACGAGGGCACATATGCATAGCTCTGGGAGCTGCCCCCAATTCTCTCATAAATGCCAGCAGCACTATCACTGCGCAGCTGATATCTCTGCTGAGTGTTGTAGTCAGTCATGTCAGCAGACCCAGCATAGGGCCCACCACTGTGCATCAAGGAATTTGTAATGGATGATACACCACCGGCACCTGGTCCACCTGTGAGCACACCTCCGATCATATTCTCGGTCATCGATCCATGACCGCCAGCGGGGTATGTGGTTGGGGGTACATAATAACTGTGCAAGTGGCTTTTTGGAATGCCATCATCTACACGTGAGCGTTTGACGTTGTGGGTTTTCAACTTTGCAGTTGGCTTGGCAGGTTCATCAGCTCTTCTCTTTTGGACTGTTGTTATCTTGTTTAGCTCAGTGATTTCTTTCTCCACGCCTGCGATCATCTCATTGATTTGCCATCCAGGAAGAAGTTTTGCTGGGTCAACCTTGTGACCTTCCAAGCACTTGAGTACCGACTTCAGAGCAGACAATTGCTTCTTATTTGAATCCATCTGCAATACAGTATTGATGAATTAGCTTTAGAAAAGGAAAGGATGAAATCCCTAAGTGCTAAACAGACAGAACTAACCATTGCTGAGGGGGAACCCTTTGCTGTTGCTTTTCTCTTGTTATAAGAATCTTTAGATTCTCGTAAAAATGAAATCAAGAGTTTTTGAGGATTGATATGCTTTTCCAGTCCACAAGTGTAGGCAAGGTCAGCAGCATCAACTTCCATCTTATTCTTCACCATCCAATCGATCACTTCTGTAAAATATTAATAAAGGAAGAAAGGCAGTCAATCAAACTGTGTGCATAAAGCTGTTAGAGTCCCTGAAGGAAGAAAAATCCGCTCATTTTGCTAGGACAAATCTGTTCTGTCAGATTCCTGAGGGTAGTATTGGGTATCACACACACATTACAGCAGCATACTTGCCACCATGTCACTTAGAAGTATATGCTCATGAAAACACCTATCCTAACACAACCCAGTGGAGAAGAACAAAATACAGAAGCAGAAGGAATGTGGCGGGAAGGGAATAAGACATAAACCAATAAAACCTGGACAAAGATACAGCCATGTGAGCAAATTAATTATGAAGCAACTAGAGGAAGAAAATTATGATTCTGCAACAACAACATCATCCAAGCCTTAGTCCCAAAAGATATTGGGGTTGGCTAACATGAATCGATACATGATATCGGAGCCAAAAGGAAAAGAAAGATAATAAAATTATGATTCTATATTGGCTAAATGATAAATCGTGAATGTCATATGTCAAAGTTATCGATTACACCCACTGGTATCTTTCTTTCCACAATGAGAGAGACTATAGGAAAAGGAGGGCGAGTATATGTGTGTGTCCATGTAAAGGTGTTTAGGTCCCCAAAAACAATTTACAAGTCTAGATCCATTACGTTGAGCTCAAACTTTGCTCCTCAGATGTAATTTGCATAATTACTAAACACCGAAGGCATAACAATTCAAAATGAGATACTGGAAAAAAAAAACTAAAACCACTAAAAGCTTAAGATATGTGTTGTCTTGCACAGAACACTATACATTTACATCTCTGGCTTTAACGTTAAGTTTATTTATTCATTTTAATGCAAATAATTTACT